CCCCCCCCCCCCCCCCCTGCAAGCCTCAGGGGTAAGAATGACCGAATGAGGGTCTGTTCGTGAAGATGCCTGCGTGATGGCGGCCTAGAAAGTCCCAATTGTCATGGTCATAGTAGCCGAGTGTTGCAGGTTGGCGTCTCATAGGGCCCGTCCGGAGTTAAAAGCACTAGTCTAGCGCCGTCAGTTCCTAAAATTCAAAATGCTCACCCCGATGTTGTGCACATGCTCTTTACTTCACCCTAAACCCCTACCTCAACATCTTCCCAGGAATTGGAGTCAGTGCTGAGGCTGCAGCGGAGCTCTTCACCATGTAACTGTCTGGCACTTGAGAGTTTTCGGGTTCAGGGCTTTCAGGTTTAGGTTTTGGGGTTTAGGGCCTAAAGGCGTCTGTATTCAAGGCCTGTCACTGCAAGCCTGTGAGTGAGCCCTGGTGCCTCCCAAGGTTTGACAGCGACCAGAACGGAACCCTGGATCAAACCGAGGTGCTGCGGCATCTCTTCCCGGACGAGTACGTCAGAGATGCTTCGCTTGTAGAGAAACGGTTTCGCTGACTTGCTCAGGATTCCTGGGACATACGGCTTTAGGTGTTGTTCACACCCAAGCCTGGACATCACCAGGAGAAGCACAAGATGCAGCAGGAAACCCTGGAGGTCTCAAAGTACAGGATCGGCCAAGCCCTTGAAGTGTGGGGCTCCAGCCGCCTTGGTGCCGACGATGCCATGGGAGATCGACAGGTGTCATACCCTCTTGCAAGCGAGGATGGGCGCCTGCAAAGCTTCGGAAGCCGGATTGACGCAGAGCCTGTTCATGATCGGGCGGCCGTCTTGGGCGAGATGGAACTCGATCCTGTCACTGAGCAGACGGTCTGAGCTATTGTGGGAGTAGTCGCTCTAGCAATCACGCGAACTCACTTGAGGAGCGCATGGGGGTTACTGGTTGTCCGCAATGCTGATCGGAATCGATGTACAGCATGCGCGGGCACCGAAGATACTTGATCGTCGGTTTTTCGGCTAGTCCTTCATTGTTTTCCGTTTAGTGCAGCACCACGCCCTTTACGAACATTTCCCCCCTAGTCCAGAAGGTAAGCTCTAGACTCAGATCCTTGATCCGGTTCTAAGCCCTTTCGCATTTCGCCATCCTAATCACCACATTCTGCAAACCCCGACCCCGAAGCCAATAAATAGTGCAAATAGAATAGGGCTGTCGGCGATATTACAGCAGAATCATAGACATACTAGAAGGGAATAAACTTACTAGTTATGTCAGCTCCGGACCTCCGTTTCACCTTCGCGCGTGTCTTCCCGAGTTGACTCGGCTAGCCTTTGTGAAAGGATGCCCCGGCTCAAGCGGGCATAATATGCATATATCATATGCACACACACATATATATATATATATAATATATATATATGTACATACAGATATATATATATATAATACATACGTACATACATACATACATACATACATACATACATACATACATTGATACATTGATACATACATGCATACATACATTATATATATATATATGCATTTGTATACGCGTATATACGTGTGTATGTGTATATATATATACAAACATATATTGTTGTATGTGTGTGTACCTCTATAAACACACTCCATACGTGTATATGCATATATGCATACATACTTACGTATATGCAATGCTATCTGTGCAGTCACGCCCTCAGGCGCGAGTGTGTGCAGATGGGGCGTGCCTTGCAGCTGCTCAAGGATGGCATTTGCAGCTGGGCTGTCTGAAGTTGTGAAGGGAGACTGATGCAGTGTGTATATACACATATACACGCTTGCGTGTATGTATGTATGTATGTATGTATGTATGCATGTATGTATGCATGTATGTGTGCATGTATGGTTGCACGAAGTCTACATGGAATCTGAGGGCTCTGTCTGTGACGCCCGGCGCTGACAGTGGTGTCCACTTGCTATCGCACGGGGGCAAGCCATGGTGTCTGTACCATCACCCAGGACGTGTGATGGGTCTGCGATCGTGGCTAATGAACAGCCACATTTGATGTGGAGAGAGAGGCTGACGGCCCCAGTCCGCCTGCCATGGTATTTTCCTGCTGCCTGTCTAGCTGATCGGCCCATTTGAGAGTCAATTGTGAGGGATTGTTTGCTGTACTTACTTGCAGTGCCGTGACGGCATACGTCGAACTCACGAAGTTTCCAAAGGAACCTCCCGTTAATCACAGTATCGTGACGTATCGTGCAGTTTGCTGCGGTGCCGTTGCTTGGGCAGGGGACTGCTGTGGCCTGAAGCGGGTTCGTGAAGAACCCAGCCCTTAGTTACTTTAGTTGTGTTGTCGCCATATACCTCGCCTGACCGCCTCGAGTGCGAGAGCCAAAGATAGATGTATGTATGTATGTATGTATGTATGTCTGTATGAATGTATGTATTAGTTTATTTGTCTATTGTTTCAACTTAAGTCTGTTATTCACTTACTTATATTCATGTACTCATGCATTCTTAGGTCGTAGGCATTTGGGCATCCTTCATAAGGGCTTCAGGCTATGTTGACCCTTAGTGTTGCCAAGCCTGGGTCCACGGATGAATGTACTATTCGGAAAGGATTGCTTAGCCTGTCCTTACTTCCTGTGTTCGGCGCGTGGATGACGGAACTAGCATCTTGGCTCAGGATTGCGCGCCGGGTTTGAGTTTAGGGCTTATAGTGTTGGCACATAGGCCCTAAGTTAGCTCAAAGAGCGGCCGAATGTTCGGGATTTGATCTTGCTTCTTGTTCGGTCTCATGCGGTAGCTGAGGCATGATCGACGAGGTCGACCTCGCACCTCCTCGAAGTCTTCTTTTGGGGTTTGTGGGTTTAGAGTTTAGGGATGATTGCAGTTCAGGGGCTATCGGCGCAGGAGTAGAGTCTAAGTGGAGCTTCAACCATTTTGGGTGTGATGGGGTTTAGGATTCAGGTCCTAGGGTTCTCGCATAACGCTGCAATCTCACTACGCAGGTGTCCTTGCCTCCATGGATTTAGAAAGTGCAGTTTCAGGCACGTCTCCCTGGATTAGTGCCTAAAAACCCTAAACCCTAAACCCCTAAACCCCTAAACCCTAAATCGTGTGTCCTCGGGACCCTAAACCCTACAGTTGAAGCCAACACGTTGGAACCCAATAGCCTCATTCCTTAAGAGTCGTAAGAGTAATGTCTATAGGGAATCCCAGCACTACTTGTCCTTAGTCCGGTTTCCAACTTTTTTGGGGTTTACTATAAATCCCTAAACCGTGTCAGTAGGCTGCAGCGTCTTAGATCATCGGCACCTTCGCGCATAGGGCTTATAGGAGTCAACTTGTCAAGGCTTTTGCTTCTGCGCCGCAAACCGAGACATTTTTCTCCACTTCTTCCTAACCTCCAAGACTGCACGTGGAGGTTGCCTAGTGGCAGGACTTAGGGGTATAAAAGGAGTTTAGGGGAAAGGGCTTTAGGGTTTAGGATTCATGTAGGTTTTCAAGATCCTTTTTGATTTTTAAGCCGCTTTGAAACGGTGCGCCATGACCTCATCAGGCCATGCACCGGCTTAGAGTGTGATCATCAACTTCAAACCTGAAAACCGCAAGCAGCTCTAAAATCTCAAGGGTTCAAGGGCTTGAACTGTCCCGGGGGAGCCAACACGGGTCTAAACCTAGCATGGAACACTGTGGAACCTTCGTTAGAACCCTGTAAAACAGTTTGAGAAAGTCGCCAATCGTTTTCGAGACCCAAAATTAACAGACAATCCAAGAAGCTGACAAACATATGTAATTTGGTGACACCTCATCAAACCCTCAGACAACCATCTAATGCCACAACACCCTTGTTAAGCCCCTGAAACCCAGACTTACAAAAACACCGCAACTTTCGATGTCGCCTTCCCCGAGGTGCTCCACCCGCTGCGGTCGGAACTGAACTTTCCAATTGGCCCCAAGAACCTCATCGAGGTCCTGCCGGGGCTCTTGGGGTTGAGGGCTAGGGCCTATGGGTGGTTATTGGGGTTTAGGGTTTTTTGTTGAGCGGTCTTCCAGGGGTTTGGAGTGAGGTCATGGGCTTTGTAGGTCACACGGCGGTTTTATAGGGTTAGGGCTTTATAGGGGTTTAGGGCGGAGGGTTTAGGGTCTTAGGTGCGTTACAGGGGCTGTGCTAGGTGCTTTACGGTGTAATTGTAGTATAGGGCTCTCAGGGTGCAGGGATTCAGGGTTTGAGGAGCTTTGCTAAGTGACAGCACAGTGAGCTTGCGGGCTTTGGGGTTGAGTTCTGGCCTGTGCAGCCTGCTACAGGATTTGCAGGTGCAAAGGGGCCGGACTCCGCAATCTTAGTCTCTGAGAACTCTCACACAAATCAAGAAAACAAAAGCCCTAAACCCTACAAAAGAAGAGCCCGCACCTCCTATCAGCTTCCACTGCAATCAGGCTTAAAGCAACCGGGGGGGTTCTTGAAACAACGCATCGCAATATGAACCCTGAGTACTAGGAGCCATGTCATAAGGACCCCCCCCAAACGGGAACCCACTTGCATAGCCAAACTCTGCTACCCTGTTTCTCAAGTTCCCTAAGCCCCTCTCCCTAAACCCTAAACCCTAAAGCGAGAGGGGAAGAAACCCTAAACCCTAAACCCTACATTTTACATGCCAAACCCTGAAAAAAAGAAGACCCAGAATCCCTCAGTCAGAGCCCAAGCTTTGAGAATAAAGCCATGCTTAACATCACGCTGACAACCCCAGACCCTATAAGAGCCACCCTTACTAAACCCTTCAAAAACCCGTAAAGCCTTAAAGCCCTAGCCCTATTAGAGCGTTGTTTTTGCTTAAGAACTCCCCCTTTCGGAACCGGGAAAACGCACCTGTAATGGTAAAAACCCTAAATCCTAAACCCAAAACCCTAAACCCTAGCAAGCGCCTGTCCAAACCCGTTAAACCCGGCTGTCAGCACGCACCGGATCGCTGGCGTGCGGTGCTTCATCTCCTCGATGGTCCGGCACTGAGACTTCTTTCCGTTGATTTAGGGTTGAGGGTTTAGGGGTTCAGGGGTTTAGGGTTTAGGGGTTCAGGGGTTTAGGGTTTAGGGGTTCAGGGGTTGAGGGTTTAGGGATTGCTGGGGTTGAGGGTTTAGGGGTTCAGGGGTTGAGGGTTTAGGGGTTCAGGGGTTGAGGGTTTAGGGGTTCAGGGGTTTAGGTTTTAGGGATTGCTGGGGTTTCCTCAGCCTGTTTGCTTAGGCATAATGCAGCCTTTCTCCTTCAGTTTTATATATATATATAGCCTTATCGGGTTAATGAAATGCCTCCTAAGTAGGCCCCAAGCCAATCAGTCATCTTACAGCCCCCTGAACCTTCAACTCCCTCAGCCAGCCTCTTGCCGAAGTTGTGAGAGCTGAAGCGGTGAGGAATTAAGGTGTTCGGGGTTTTGGGGACTCATAAGGTTTTTTGGGGATTCATAAGGGTTTTCGGGTGTTCGGACTCATAGGGTTTTCGGGTTTTGGGGCTCATAGGGTTTTCGGGTTTTGGGACTCATAAGGTTGAGGGTTTCTTTTGGGGGGTTAGGGACTGAGGGTTGAGGCCTAAACCGGATACACCCGAAACCCTAACCTGTACCGGGGCGGCACTGCGGCACTCCAAGGGGTGAGCACTGCTGGATGAATCTTGCAGCAAATGGCGGCTAACCCGAAACCCCGAACCCTATAAACCCTAAAGCCCACTTGTCACAAATCAAAGTAAGGCCCTCTGAACTGAAAAGCAACTTCGAAGCAATCGCATGCCCAGAAAGAGTAGTAAAAAGCCACTCTTAGACACGAGCCGCAATAGTTAGAGTTAGAGTTATGTAAGTTCTAGTCACCCTAAACCCTAAACCCTAAACGCCCTAAGCC